GAAAGAAGCGGCTCTTTTGCTGAAATATCCAGCGTTTTCCAAACTCCTTTGGCTTGACACTTTTGAAAGCAGTTTTCAGATCACACGAGACGTTCTGAAGCTCACCAGTCCCTCTCAGCAGCAGGACTGGATCTAGGCATAGGCAGACTAGGCAGCTGATTAGGGCCCATCAGCACAGGGGGGCACAGACAGAGTCCCCAGTCGGTGAAATCTATTGATAGAAATACGTCTCCTTGATGGGCTATGGCCCTACCTAGGGCTGCTGAAAAGCTAGATCCATTCCTGGTTATCAGTAGCAGTTTATGTTGCACCCAGGCATGCTGTCTTGGGGGGGCAATGTAGAGGGGGGGGGCATAGGAGAGGATCCAGGTGCAATGGGTTGCGTGTCATAGGGACTTGGTTGAAATAATTTTGTCCCGAACCCAGAAAGGGAATTATGTGTGCGGGGCTTGGTATCACCCATGTGTCTAACGTCCATTACGCCAGGAAACGACCCACTGAGCGGCGATTCTAAAACATCCCTTCAGTTATTTGTCAGGTTAGTGGTTTATTTTCTCTAATCGTAAAATAAACGGCAATGCACTCAGCGTGCCCAGAATGTTTGACTTACGAAGACTCTCCTGTGACAGATGGGGACCATCAAGTAGGTTTTTTTTTAAATTTTTTGTTCCCCTAAGACTTTATCTAGATGTGCTGCTTAGTACAGAACTGGTCAGGGGGTATGCAGTGGGTGCGTTTCCACACAACATTTATTTATTGATGTTAAAACTGCGATTTTACCATGTGAGTTTTTTTTAGGTAGATGACAACTTGCCCCAGACAGTGAACATTTAGTGGATAAACAAAAGTGCGGCTTAATAGGTGTGTAGTAGTTTGGTTTACACCATGCTGTAGCTGTTTAAAGTGCCCTCTGGCCCCGCCTCTGGGCGGAGCTTCTCGTGGCCTCTGGCCCCGCCTCTGGGCAGAGCTTCTAAGGACCTCAATGCCAACTGGAATCCCGATGTTGGACTCGAAAACCCCCCCTGTGGTGCCCACTGAGGTGTATGGTGTGTCATGTGACCACCCCCCATGGTGCTGGTGGGGATTGGGGTGTCTTGGTGCCCCCCCACCCTCCTAACTGCTGGCCTTTTGGTGGCTTTGATTAATATTTGAGAGGCTGCGATGCATTAGAACTGGACTGATCTGGGATGAAAGGCAGGACACTGGACCCAGGTCCACCACTGGGACTGCTGGGATTGGGGGCACAATGTGGATGTGAACCAGCAGAACAGCGCCAGAGCTTCTTAACCTCATCATAAGATGCTCAGAAATCACTTAAAGTACTGAAGGTGATTTGCAAGCCACGCTTGATACATCCTCACACACTGATAATAAAACAGTCATTTTGAGGCACACCGTCCCCTCTGACCAGCATTCACAGTGTTGCATGACTGCTGCCTCATGCCACTGATGTTCGTGGGCACAGTGAAAGGCCTGTGGAAAAGGACTGAGCACATCCTCTAGAGACCCCCCCCCCCTCCCCCGAGAAAGCGTACAGTAAACACAGCAAGTGTAATCGCAGCCTGAGGCTTCACTCTTAATAACAGATTATTATATGCAGCTCCTGCAGCTCACGTTCCTGCAGCTCACCTTCCTGCAGCTCACGTTCCCGGTGCTCACTCAGCTCACAAAGGGTCTGATACCCTGAAAAATGAGTGGAGGTTATTTACAATTTGTTTGCACCAGGCAGAGGTGGAGGGCAGCCATGATTTCATGGTTAGTGCTGCTCCCTCACACCGGTATGGCTGTGGGATTTAAACCCAGGCCTGAATTCGGGGATTCCTGGAGGTCCCGGTGGCGCCCCCCCCACCCCATCACCATCTGAGGACATGCCATCAGAGCTAGACACATTTATTTTGGGCTAAATTTGATAACATCAGCCCATAATTTGAGGAACATTCGACGACATCTTCCTATGAGCGGTTCGTATTGAAATTCACCAACACTGATGTTCCACAATTATTTGGCAGACTCTACTTAATGACTAGGCCTATATTAATACCTTCCAACAGCTATTCATAGTGCAGAATAGCTGCAGTTCGATTTCTGCACTGTTTACACTCTGCCTCCACCCTTTCTAAATTTTCTAGGAAACCTCTTTGCTCATGAAAACGTGAGTTTGCAACCGTTGCATTTTCCGATGGTGGAAATATGGCAGTTATAATGAAGATGAGATTATATGTGACTTCAGCTGCAGAACGTGTATTTTAATCTGTATATATTTAGCGAATATGGCAGCGGTCACCACTTAAAAGCGAGAGCCCTGCATGCTTAAAGATGCCTTTAAGAGCCCACTTGTTGGAGACGTAGCGATGTTTATAGTAATGGGAGCTGGGAGGTTAGGATCACGGTAGTTTAAAACAGACAAGAGAAACTCGCTCCCATGTGCTTAGGTGGGTGAGCCTGCTGCACGGAAATGCTCCGCAGCGGGTCCAACGCGACGGCCGCCCCCTGAACTGCCCAGTGGGTCGCACTCAACCTCCAAATGGCGGGTTCTTCGTAGTGTAAAACTGTGGTTCTATTTCCGAAGGCAGTGTCTGACTGGGCTGCTTGAGTTACTTTAATTGGTGTGACAAATAACCTTTTTGTCTGCACGAGATATGTTTAAGGGAATTTAATGAATGCATGTTGTTTTTATTAAATTTACGACAAGGGGAAGATATCCAAGATTGAAATGTGTACCAGCATGTGCGTCACGATTTAAACCGAATTAGTCAAGTCAGTAAAGGTATTAAATGGTATTTAACATGAAAGCGTTACAAAAATATTTTAGAATTTAGAAATTTCTACGACCTTAAATCTCTTGTATCGTGGCAAACATGGTAGACCAGCCGAATTGATTATTATATATTATTAAAGAAAAAATATAAAAAGCAGAAATGTATAACCGCTTTATCAGAATCTGATACTCGGTCTTCATCTTGGGGTCTCCTAGCTCTTAAAAATTATTTTTAACATCAGCTTTCTCGAGTAGTGTGCCGCTACTCACCTGCAATTAAATAATCGAAAATGTTATAATATGGTCCATATATCCATATATACATTATCACCATAGATTATTTAGTGAAACTACGATTCAACTACTACATAAACACAACTTATATAGACTTTGGTAGGTCTATATAGACTGTGAACGTTTAACAAGGATCAGACATTTCTGGTCATATTGAAATTAAATATAAATTAATATCACTCAATTAAATATTATATTAATTCGATTATAATTATAAATCTAAATCCCCGTCATTTAAACTAGGTATTTTGTACGATATATATGATTTTTAGCAACAAAAACAATTGATAAATCAGTCTGTATCCATAGTAATGTAAACTGAAATTAATTTGAGTAAGGACAAAAAAGGAAACTTTTTAACCACGTGATGTTACAGTGCACTGCATTTAAACTTTGTCATGAGTTTATTTATATTAGGTAAAAGTAATAAAAATGCAACGTTTCCTTGGGTCGTATTTTTAGACTTAAGCTCACAACCCCCCCATCATAAATATTTAGGCGGGTGGCTTAACCAGCCCATGCCAGAATAGTCAATTGTATCCTTGATCAGTTCCCTTAGAAACGGAATGAGTGACTTGGGTAGCTGCCAGTACGTATCGCTCTGCAAACCCAAACAGTCCCATTATGATGGAATTTAACAGCTGCGGGTCTTTCGCCCTCCGTTGAGTTACAGACGTATCCAACATTTGCTTCATTAAAAAAAATAATAAAATGTTCCATTCGAACCCCCAAAAAATGACTTTGCTAAATCGCTTTACACAATTCACATTGTTACGGCCCGGTGAACTTTGGATGCGAAGAACAAAACATTTCATGCTTTTTACTACGGCACAGATATGAAAATTATTACCATATATTGGTGTGATACAATTTGTGGCACTCAAGATATCAGCGTCACCTGATTTACGACTTTAACCTCGCCACAAAGAACTTAGACTCTGCTTCAAATGAGAGCATGAGTTTAATTTTTTTTCCTATGGCTTGACAGTATGATATGTAATCTAACCCCTCCATGGTGATTTGTCCTTTCCAATAATAATAATGATGATAATAATAATAATAATAATAATAATAATAATAATAATAATAATAACAATAATAATGTGTGATAATTGCCGACAACAGACTGTTAATGTAGCTTTTCAGACTTCCTGTATTATGAATTACTGCTCATATTTTTTCTATGTCTAGATTTGTTGCTGGTAACGGGTGACAGTTTTATGGCTTCGGCGATATTGTTCGGTGAATTTATTCCCACGTTATTAGTTAATGACTGGCCACGCTGCTGCCTGTTTTCCCGTCACCAATAACCATCTGGTGGCTTATTAGCACCTCAATGCATCTGTCCAAGCGTCGCACCCCCGGGCCTCCGTACACCGTCAGCTGAATACAATTAAACCCAGAAATAATCGGTATAATTGGCTTCGATTTTTTGCTTTCTTACCAGTTTTGTCACCTTGTTGCATCAGAATAAACAGGAAAAAACAAACAGGATCGAAAACAAGCCATTAATTCAAAATCAGTCGATAAGTTTGACCAGTATATAACAATGCAATTTGTATTCGAATATGTATAGTCGGCCTGAAATGTCATTGTGAGATAAATGTTTAGAAACTAGCATTTGGACGAGAAATGCAGATCGCGGACAGTAATAACGATAAGGACCCTGCTAATGCAGTAATAATCAAATTAATCCAGATAGTTTTAGGACAAGCAATATTACACTGGCCGTTTATTTTTGTCATAGAAACCGTGAAACTGAATGTATAATTTTAAATCATTCTACAAATAAACATGTAATTCACAATTTAAAGTACTGCTTGATCAAAAGGACAAAACGATTATTTCGATGCAATAATCAGTAATATGTCATTTAAAATAATTCATGTTCACATATGAAAAAAAACTTTAATGCCTATTTTTTCCATTCAATTTATTAGACAAAAATATAGGCTGTATTTTGGACAAATTATGTGCATATACACAATCTTATTCACAGAAACAAAAACAAAACTCAAAAACGCGTATAAGGGAAAAAACGTAAGTGGCATGAGAGGAAGAAGGAAGGTAATTTCTCAGTACGGAGGGTAAATATCGACAGAACGCTGCAGGGAAACGGGGAACTTGGGGCAGTGTTAGGGATAGGGTCCTTTGCCGTCAGCTTATTTTTGCCTGAAATTCGTCATAATAATAATAATAATAATAATAATAATAATAATAATAATAACAATAATAATGTCTTCATCAGGTGGAGGTGAGAGCAGATAGAACGGGGGGACGTAAAAGCCTCTGTTTTTCATACTGGACCCTGGAACTGGAACAGACAGAGAAGGACAGTCAGTATGTGCGCGTGCATTTCTGCATTACGTATTATTCTTCATTTAAGCTCTATTATCAAATGTCTATATATTAACGTAGGGTAATTATACGCCCCTTCCTTAAAGTGCTATGTCGCGTGGTAATACTAAGTTAAACACACAATGTTATTGTATATTTAGGAAAAAGTAACTTGTATTTGACAGTCTGGGGGGGCCTTTTCCGGATGGTACACTAGGCCGTCGGGTTTCATGAGCTCACTCTGAAATGAGGACTTCCACTCCAGAGAAAATAAATAAACGGAGTGCCCTCTATTACCTAAAGTGGTGCTTTACATTTGACACGCGAGCCTATAGCCTTTCGCACAAACTGGCTTAAAATAACGGCAAAATCTGTTTACCTGTCACGCACGTGCTGAAGCGATGGTTTTATTGCCGGCATCGGAGACACTGTCCTTTGAACATTTCCCTGATCTACAACGCAATGAGTACAACGACAAATCATTAATTAACACACGGCGTGTTGCATTTAATTTCAGGATTATATTCACACTTGATACGAGAAGCACTGCCATAGCGTGACATGCACTGAGACTGTCATCGTGTTATAGGTCTACCTGTGAGCTTCGGGCTCATGTCCTCCGCGGAGCTCTCGCTGTCAGGCGCAGATTTGGGGGGCGCCTTCTGTCCTGCGTGGGCCTTCATACTATACGTCTGGTGACCATGATCCAGGCCCAGAACCGACTTCACGTTAGGCAGGCCGTTTTGGCCCAGGAAAGCGCCATTCGTCCAGTTTTGTAATTTTCCGATCTGGCACGTGTATACTCCATGGCTCGGCAGGAAAGCCGGGTGCTGGATGGGTATCGAGGTCCGGCTGGCTGCTCCAGGGGGCATCGCCGATTTCTGAGAGCTGTCGGGACACGTAGCCGTTTCGGCTAACGACCATATTTTGGGTTTATGGCACGGGGGAATTTGGGAACTGCTTTGCTCGTCGGAAGAAATTATGCTTCTGTTTTTGTCAATTGATTGCTCCTTGTCGGCAGAGGTATACTTCGGGTTCTCCGTGCAATTTTGCGTTTGTCTTTTATGCGTACTTTCGCGGCCCTCCCTTTCATCGAAGTTATCATCCTCATCTTCATCACCATCGTCCTCTTCGTTACTTTGGTCCGCATTGTTCTCGTCAATCTTGTCTATATCTACGCTTTCCAGGTCAATCTCCTCATCTTCGTTTTTTACAGTGGCCCCTTCGTTATCGCTGTCGAATATTTTGCCATCCCGGTCCTCAGCACTGCGTCCCCATGTCACCTTGTTCTCCTTCTTGAGTCTCCTGCGGGCGTTGGCGAACCAGGTGGACACCTGCGTGAGGGTCATCTTGGTGATGATGGCCAGCATGATCTTTTCCCCCTTGGTGGGATACGGGTTTTTCTTGTGCTCCTGAAGCCAGGCTTTCAGCGTGGTCGTCGTCTCCCGAGTGGCACTCTTGACTCTAGCGGCGTCCCCATACTGGCACTGGCCGTACGGGTAGAAGGCGGCCGCGGCGTGGGCCGCGAAGCTGGACGGAAGAGCACCGGGGCTATCTTTAAGCTCATACTGCGCACCCTGTGGAAATAAGACATCATTTGATTAACAGCTGATTTGTAACGCCTCCTATTTCTGTCAGGAACCGCAGACTCCCCCATTCAGTATAAACCCGCAGGCTTATGTAGGCCTAATTACATCAGCTGTTAGATATCTTAAAATGTATTCATCTTAACTTGAATATTTAATAGAAATGCGTGACTTATTATTTTAAACACGATTTTACGTGAAAAGAAGAGCAATACATTTCCTTTATTGATGCTACAAATTGTCCCAACGCGACCAAACCAAGGCCCCGATTCAATAACATCTATTTAACCATTTAAACTTTACACCTGGGACACAGGGAATATATCATTTGGGAAGCGTGTCTAATGGCTGACCGACAAAGCATAACTTGCTAAATGAGTGCGTTAACTAAAGCGCCCTGACCAAATTAAGCCGTGGACAGCCGTCATTGACGTTGTCATTATTGGTTTTCTTTAAAGCGCCTGAGAACGTTAGACACGGCGAGATGTCAAAATAAATACCTGCAGAATCGCTACAGATGTCATGTGAATCAGAAGGAAAACAGCGAGCAAAACAGGCATTTCCATAATCCAGTGTCTGTTTTAATCTAAGTATATTTTAACCATACAGTATTTGGGATGTAAGGCATAGTTATATTGACAAGCACGCTCAAGTCAGATTATTTTAATCGTCAGTACATATTGTAGTCAGTAAATTTAGTAACGAAATAATTAAGAACACTTTGCTCAAATTTTGCTAAAATTGTTCTAACTTAACGGATTTATCTGAAGATGCATTTATGCAGCTGAGGATCCAAATTAAAATTCCAAATTTATAAAAAAATAAAATAAAAGCAGATTTCCCATACCCGTGCGAAATTGTTAAAGATAAGTAACTATTTAATAAGTAACATTATTTAGCTGAAGAAAATATCTGCTGTAATTCTATAACTTTGACATCTGGGCCTATTATTTCTAAATTAATAATTGAACATGACACAAATATTTATAAAACATGTAAACATTTGAGCACCATTTTCACCCTGGCAGGCCTGTAGACGAAACTTACATATGCAGAATATTTTTTATTATAAGCTGCATATATTGGTTTACATTACGATCGCGTTATATTCCTTAAAGTTTTTGCAGCCGAGTTGAATAATAAAACACAATTCACTGTTTGTATAAGGCAGCGATGGATCGGAAGTAGCCTTAACTTACAGCGGATTTGCGCATAACTGAATCATGCACTCTTTCATTTTTATGTGCGCCCTCATTCCTTCCCCGGACAGCTGCAAACACACCAGTTTTTCAACAACTGAAGCGTAACGAAAAGCTCTTACCAGCTGCGAGAAGAGCGCAAGGTCCGCGCTGCTGTACGGCAGAAAGGCGCTATAGCCGGGAGCCGCGTAAGGGTTTGCATACATGCCCAGCACCGACGTGACTGCCGCTGTGGCAGACTGACCCGCACCGATCTCCGAGGGGCTGCCCCGGAAAGACGCGGAAAGCACCCCAGTCCGATCGCCTCCGTACGCCGCTTGGGTGGCGCTTAAATACTGGGGGTAACCCAGCTGGGAGAATGACATGGCTGATGTGAAAACTAACACGGAGCCACAGCGGGGACAATCCAAGAACAACACGAAGGCAGAGCTGAAAATGCCAGCGCGGAAAGGCACAGGAAGATGAACTGAAATCACAGCCTCTTCTCAGGGTCCTCTGGATGCGACAGGCTCACTAGCTCAGCCTCGACTGATGTCCCTGCCCATGGGCCCCGCGCCTCATATCTCACATACAATTTGAAGTTGACGGCTTGATTGGCACGTCGCTCGGCGTCGAGGCCCCTCCCTATCGCGCTTGCCGGTTGCGCATTGGCTCAGGCCCCGTTTGGTGCTGACTGTTTATCCGGCCTCTGAAGCTTCCACTGTTGTGACAAGCAGCCTCTGGGACTCGCGCTGGGACAATAACCTCGGCGTCAGCGCTGCTCTTTTATATAGATAAGCTCGGGAAATAAACGGGTCCTTTTTTTATTAATGGTGACGGTTTTAAAGAGATGAACGCGTACAGAAAAAGACAGTTCACAAAACAGAGATTGATACGAAGGCATATTGTAGCACTGTGAAACTAACTTTAGAAATAGCGGTCACTATCTGCGTGCGATACACGTTTGGCCATAGGATAGATGTAGAATTCATTTTATAGGCAGACAAAAATTGCGGCAAACAGGTTTGGTTAAATACCCTTCATTCCGACTGATTGCAAGTAAAAGTGAAAAGATAGAACTCGCCAGGAACCACCTTACAAAGACCATACTGGAAGCACAGAGATTCCTACTGATTTTAAATCGGCTCATTATATGTGGTGGCTGTCAAGAGAATTAATCAACTGAATTAATCCTCATGTGTTAAATGAAGTCAATGATTTTGATCTGCACCAGATGGTTAAGAACTGATGCCAGGATCTGAGGGGACAGATGATAATCAACCAAACACATTAGACTGAAATGGGAAGGACGGCTGTGACAACGTGCGGACGGCACGCGGAGCTCGGGGCGCGCCTGGCACCATGCGGGGCCGGCGGCTGGTCCCACCGCCCCAGCCTCAGCCCGGCCGCGCTCCTAGCGGGATCTGAATGCGCCACCTCCGCTGTACCTGTCTTGAAATTCTAAAATAATAATAGATATTATGCTGTTCCTATTACCCCAAACACCTTTAGTGTTTGTGGGAATGTGTGTAAGAATCGGGACGGGCCTTGTGGATATTATGGTGCTAATAATAATAATAATAATAATAATAATAATAATAATAATAATAATAATTTGCCGATAACGCTATATCAGATCTTTTTGGACGTCCACACTTTGAAACAAAAAGTTCCAAAAGTTCTGTGCGTTGTTGTTGTCATCTTTGTGGTTTGGCTCAGTCTAACTGAACGCGTGGTCTGTGCGACTTTGCGTGCGCGCCGTCGCCCGGTCTGTCACGCCGCTTATTTACATGCATGGCGCTCTCCAAGACAGTGATTAACTCAGCCGGTGAAACACGCCGTTGAACTCTGGGATGTGATAATTGATCCTTTCCCCCCTGCGGACACGTCAAACCGCAGCTCCCGAAGCCAATCACAAGTCGTTATCATAGGATGGACAGAGCCAGGATTTACATACGGTGGATGTCATTTACAGGTAGACCTACCACGCTGCTTGAAATTAAAAAGTACTAAACTACGGTACATCACATGTTAGTTACCTCGCACAACTACAAAAATCTAAGGCCGAAGTAGCAGGGTTAGGCATTGGTTTGAATTTAAATTAATTTTGATCCAGCCGTTGGTGTCACATTTCTGGTAAAGCGCATGTTGACGGCGGCCACAGCTGTTAGGAAGCGGCCGGACGCTGAAAGTGACCAGCTTTAGTCATTAGTGGGGCTTTTATAAATATGATGGGAATGTGGGCTACAGTACAAAGATCCACATGCGAGCTGCGGGTACATATTTTTTGTAGACTCTCCATTTTTAAGTAATTAAGGATCCCTAAAACAAAGTAAATTATAAAGGCTATCAAACAAACACGCTGCGATACTTTGAAAGCAGGATTGGCTGGAGTTTTTGTTTTCCCCAGAAAGCCAGTGTCCTAAGTGTCTTTCCGTATGAAATTATCATACGATCAATATTTGTGTGACGCTGTTATTGCGGTTTATATGATACAGTTAATTGTTACTGTTACATTCATATGATTATTGATTTTATCGAAGTCTTCAAATGACCTAAATATTTTCACTTAATATATTGATGCATTTCACAATCCTGAAGTGAACAATCTGTTTCCCGGTTCTGTTATTTTTATCGTAAAATATTTAAATTTCTGTTTTTGTCTCTTTTACAGCAAAGGCGCTGTGGCTGTGGCCGTTTTGATGTGTCCCTTTGCGCTGTCCCCAGTCAGGGCCGGCGGCTTCCCAGTGGGTAAAGAGTGCTTTGAGCTATTTACCTTTGCTCCGCAGCTATTGAATCTATTCATTTATTCAGAGGCTGTCGGGCTGACAGAAGCTACAGCCTTTAAAATGTGTGTCTGGTCAGGCTACCAAATATGCAGTCTCTTCTCAAACTCTTTGGACTCGTGACTCCACATCTGGGCAAGTTTGGCCGCTTGTGAGTTATATTCGCCCCACGTTTTCATCAGACGGCGCAGGAATTGTTTGTCAAACAGTGGATTTTTTTTGCAGTTTCATTTAACAGCGAGTGAAGCTGATGCCAAAACCACTGTATTACGATTTGTTCAGTGTTCTCTGTATGTTTGGTGGCGGTGGATTTCACGATTTTAATTTTAAACCAAGCCAGGCAAAATGTTTGCCAAAGATTACATTAATAAGGAGCTAGATTTCCCTGAGGAATTAAAATATTTTTAAGAATGGAAATTCAGCTAGCTTAAGTTACATTCCACTAATAGTTTAGCCTTAAATTGACATTATATGGGCATCTGCTGCTGGGAACGAATCAAGTCAGCTTTTCTGTGATACTTATCTTGAGTATCAGGAGTCCTGAACCTAACGGACCAAACCCACATTGCCTTGAGGCATTGGATGGACCGCCGGGTATATCCGAAACGGTGACCCATAATTATAGCCACATTCCTGGGCTGGTGGGGGGGGGCTTTTTTGCCGGTGTGTCCACCACGCCTCCATCTGGCACGACCCGGTGTTCTTCCGCTGAGGAACTGGGGCTAATTTTGCAGTCGATTAGCAGAGGGCACAGACGTTACCACCCCCACCTGCTCACTGCCAGCCTGCTTCTAATACAGTAATTCAGATCACAAGACCCCACCCACTCCCCATCCTATCTGGCGTCTTTATCTAAAAGTCATCTTCTGTCTTCATGAGCTCCGTCAGCTGTCAGGGTCTGTTTTATTCTGGATACGGACTAGGGAGGTTACGTCTCTGCCCAGGTACCGCTTCTAGTTACCAGGCACAGCAACACATTTCCTGTTTTCATAATTGTTTGGATAAATTTGAGGAAAACATTTAATGACACTGAGACAGAACATTAGATCTGTTTAGAAGCTAAAATAAAAGAACAATTTAAATCCTTGGATTTAAGACCATTTTTCCATCCTAGAATCTGCAGTCCGGCCTTAACCTGTCCATCCGTTTCATAGCTTCAGAAAAACTGGATGGACTGTTACTGCGATAAGAAAATCTTCTCCACCTTCAGAGCCTGGGAGTTAAACAGCACGATGTGAGCTACACAAGCTTGGGTTAAGATGAACCTGAAATCTCCGCAGAAGCCTGAGAGACACGCTCTCCGCCGCTGCTTCCTTTCACTGAATTCCCCAAAATACCTCACACAGACCGTTAAATCTTCCTCATCACTCACACTCATCCACCACTCACTCTATACACCCCCCCCCCCCCCCCCCCCATAACCCCACTCATGATAAGTGTTTGGAAAGTGCTGCTGATACATTGAAAAAGCAGAAATTTTAAATATCAGATGCTAATATATAATAGAAAAAAAAAATAACAATACACAGTTTGAACTCATTTTTGGAAGGGTCCTATGGTCGTATTATTGTTGAATCGCTTTTTCCTTAAATAAAATCCTGTAATAATTTGACCTCTAACTCAGTTGTGTGAGTAACAAAGCAATTAATGACGCGTGTCGCAGTCCCCGTACGCAATTAGAAACTTAAAGTTCATCCTTAGTCTGTTTGTTCTGAGTCTGATGGTGAAATGACAGAGACAAAAAATCTCCAAGCCAGGAAGGGCAGAGGATGGGTGCTGGGGAGAGTTTCTGCACTTTGAAGGGGTTGTTTAAGATACGGCACGTATGTTAAAGAATCCAGTGTTTTGCGGAGCTGCTGGACACAGAGAGCCCTGTGAAACTCGCCAACATCCTGTCACCCGGCCGACAGCTGAAAGGCGGCGTTTGCTGTCAGACGGCGTATCTGCGGGGCTACTCGCTGCTCTGCTAAGCATGTGTAAGCTGACAACAGAGAGCGGCGTGTTTGAGTAACAGAAGAGCCAACGCTAAGATAAATGAATACATAATGACATAATACTGATCGACGTTCAAATGAGGGCGGTGAAGATCATTCCCATTCTGAGGGATTTTGTGCTTCTCCCACTCCGAACCCAACCATGGCCATCGCCAGCGCGTCACTCTTCATGTTGCACCAAAATGTCAAGCCTTGATTATTCTGGGCTGGCAAATAACAACCATGTAGAGGGAAAAAATATATGTTATTCTTCCGTGACACTTTATAATGCAAGCAGATCATATTCATGTAGACATCAGACATGACAAACTTTAGTAGACCTGAATTGATCATGAGTTGGCAAAAATTCCCCAAAAAAGTCTAATCTGATTATGGCCATCACTACTGACTTTGGACCTATGATTTAACGAAACCTTTGCAGTCGTTAATGAACTTTACATTAGAGAAATTTAAATTGGACTAGTCAGTCCTTCAGTAATGGGTTGGCACCCCATCCTAGGTTGTTCCCTGCTATATAGCTACTGGGATAGGCACTGGGTCCCCATGACCCTGCATAGGACAAGCAGGTCTGGAAAATGGATGGATGGGTGGATGGATGGATAGATAGTCAGTCCTTAAAGAGGAAGTGAAGATTATCGATTTCTGATTCCCAAAACATCTAGGAAGTAGCATTTCAGATTTCTGTGAAAACCTGCTTTATAGAACCGTGGGAGAGATGTCATATTGTGGTAGATGAAACCCATTCACTTAAAAAAAATGAGATAATTCACAGCAATGTCTGTGATCCTGACATAACTCAAGCTGTCAGATCTCCAGAAGAGCTGCAGAGGGCTGCAGGAGAGATGGAGATCACAGCTAACGTGTGGCCAGGAGGCCCGACCTTCTCAGTGGATGAGGATGAAGTTGGTCCTGCTCTCATCCCCCTCCCTCTCTGAGCAGCAGACTCACAGATCGGCGGCAGCGACATCACTGATTCCGGCCCTAATCAGGTATTAGCCAGGAAAGCCGGGGGGGGGTGGGGGCGACCAGATAATCTCAATATTTACTCCATCTGCACTCACATACAAGCCTGGCTTATCTCCGCGACATCAAAGATACTCTGTAAAAAAAAACAGATAATGGAGTTCAGATGGAAGCTGATCGAGTGTAAGATGTTAACAGGAGCCAGAACCGTGGGAGGAATGGCGGCCAAGGTCCCGTTTTATTCACGAGGGGCACAGAGCTTCAGACGTTTAACACGCCCGTCCTTCCATCAGCAGCTCCAGCTGGGAACAGAAAGGGGATGCATTTTTTATGAGACGTGGCCCATCATGAAATATTCTGGCGTGAGGCTTTGGCAAATCCAGCGGCTGTCGCATGTAGGTACAGCTGGCAATTAATGCAACTGGGTTCGACGAGAGAGGGAATTTTTTTTTTTTAATTTAGTATTTACGGAGATTGACACCAAAGCTGTGCATGTCTGGGTTTTTGTGGAAATTTCCAGAAAGCCGGTATTCTAATGTCAGCAGGTGTCTTTAAATAGAGATGTGCATTTTTTTTTTTCTTTTAGGTATAATTCCCCATAACGCAGGATCACATACTCACCCCCAGACCGAGACGCTTGTGTCCAAAAGTCACATGATGCTGAGAGAGTCATGTGATTTGGTGAGCAGACCGGCACAAACGTTCATCTGGAGGAAAGAACCTGAGGAGTGCGGACAAACCATATGCTCTGGACTGCATTCGGAAAGCCGGCACACGGACGTCTGTCCGCGGGGACCTTTAAAACTCCTCTCTGGCAATGGGAGCCGCCTCATTAGTGGGAATTAATTGTAGGAATGATAAAAGGTGAGGGATTGGGGGAGCTGGGGGGTGGTCATGGATCCCACCCTTCGGGGACAGGCATTGAAGCCCCCCCCCCCAATCTCTTGGGGGCTTTTCTCTCGCCCGGCTTCATCTTGAAGACTCGCAGAATGCCGCTCAATGCCGTGAACTTTCTGTCCCTGAGGTGCTTCCGTAGGGGGCGAGGCGGACCAGAGGGTGACCTCAGATGAATTATTCAAACCTGCCTGCGTGTTAATATTGCATTTGACATAAAAAAGCTCCACTTTTTTTCATTACTGACCACTTCATTAACAGCCAGGCACAATTATTCAGCTACTTGACTTGATTTTTAAATCTTTTTTAGTTCTGATCCAAAAGTGTCACTTTGCCTTGTCGTCGAGCACAGACCAAATCCCATCTTAATCAAAGTGCCCACCGCTGCACTCCCCCGAGCCTGTGTTTAGAGAAAATGGGGTTGGGGGGGCTTCTCTTCAGAAGGTCACGGGGTGGATGGCGACCAGCTGTTCGCTGAGCTCGTCTGAGTGTCCAATTATCTACCTTTGTTTCTTCTAACAGCTGTGCTCAAGATGGTTTTTAAAATAAAATAATATCTCCTGAGTGTGGCTGCTGAGCTGTAGAGGAAACCTCTCTTCATTTCTCTATTTCTACAAGTCAGTGTGAAGTTTTTTTTTTGGGGGGGGGGGAGGGGGGGTTGGGGGGTTACAGGACTGAGACTCTGGGAATTGATTTTGAAGGGCTGAAAAAAACTCACAGCCTGGTAGTAATTAGCCAAAACGGATCAGTGACTCGGTGACTCTCTCCGCCGCAGGTTAAGCCGTTTGTAGGCTCGGTTTCATCTCACGCTCGGCGCCGCCTGCCTCTTCCCCAGCCTGTCGGTGTTCGCCTGTCACACGACGGCTCTTTATGGCCATACTCCCAGCACGGTGTCATAGAAGTTCGGCTTTAACATAGCTGTAGGTGGGGTTTACGGGCAAAGGGAACCATTAGCCTAAATAACCAGCAACCAGAATAACCAATTTGCATATCAACTATCTGCTGATTCAGGGATTGAAAGTTAGAGACATATAAGCAATTTGCTACCATACCACCTCGGTAAAATATTGACCTAATCAGTAAGGGGGTAAAACCTTACCAGACAGCTTACCAGACACTGGATAGATCCATAGCTGAAGCTCCATTAAAACAACAACAATAATAATAATAATTATTATTATTATTATTATCTTCTTTTAATTATTATTATCATTATAGTCATGTACTACATTAGTGCTTGGACGGCTGGCCATGGGGGCAGACAGAACTCTCCTCAGAACCCGCCCCCCCTTTTCACATCACCACTGGCCCCAAAGGCTGCGCATTTAGCCTTGGGGGCTACAGGGATTCAAGGCATGATTTAATAAGAGGCACCTGAACCAGTGTGTGAGCTGTGCTCCAGGGCACTCCTGCTGAAAGTTCAGGGTATGTGCATGGCTCCAGTGGCAGCAGAAGAGACGATGGAGATCTGATGAGGAGATAAGTCTGAAAAGTAAGATTACGTCTGGGGGATGGGCTACTGAGGCTGGTTAGAGCTGGTAAATAAAGGGAAGTGGTGCCTAGCTGAGGTTTGTTCTACCATTCAAACTGCACCTTTACCTCGGCCCCTAAGGTTTGGCCCCCTGTTGGTCAAAACGATCAGTAGAATATTAAATAAAAGCGTTCCTTATTTAGGAGATGCTGAAGCAGCGTGTTCTGCTAACCAACAGGCTGGCAACCATCTTTTGACTCTACTGGCTATTTATTTATTTTTTGAAGCATGGGGGGGTGGGGGGTGGCTGAGGAGGTCTTTTTCAGTTGAATACCAGAAACGGCAAAATTACCCCTGGTAATACTAGAGATCTGATAAAGAAAAAAAGAAACTCCTTCATGTACAGATGCATCGTATAACTGATGATTATGGGCCCATCCATGAGCCCATATAAATCTCTTTAAATGCCTGAAATCCAAGGAAAATCTGGTCAAAGTAAATTGATGAAGTGACGCGTGTAGAGCTGCACACGAAGCGCTTTCTGAGCGTCCGCTGCAGCTTGGGTCACATGACCGCCCGGATAGACACACTACTGAGGGTCTCAAGATGGCCGACTCATGTCCAGGCACTGCGAGGTCAGCGTGACGAGGGGCTTTCACGGCAGGTCACGGGAGGTCGAAAGCAGAGATTGTTCACGTCACGGGAGGTCGAAAGCGGAGATTGTTCACGTCACGGGAGGTCGAAAGCGGAGATTGTTCACGTCACGGGAGGTCGAAAGCGGAGATTGTTCACCTCTTCATTTGTTTTGCAACTGAATCAGGAGTCGAGAGAGAAACGCAGACAAGAGGCTTGGTAAAGTAAGTTGGGAAGGGGACGGCAGCTGAACTAGGGGACTCAGAGCATGACTTGGGATGCTGAGGAGGTGTTGGGATGCCCAGTGCTCCCAGTATCACACTCCAGGTGGTTCAGCCCCAAACAGGTGAATGGTGGTTACCCCAATCACGATCCCAACAGAAGGTGACAGCAACTCGTGTTGTCATGCCTCCCTCATACAGGTCCTGCACTCATTATTTATAAAGGCTGCAGGAGATATTGGTGTTAATTAGGGTTAATGGTCACTGGGCTTCACTTTATTAAATAGGATCCCGAGAATGTCAAGCCTTCCTGCACCCTCCCCGCCCTACCCCCCCCCACCCTGCATCATAGCCTGGGCTGATGTTTGGTTACAGTCAAAATAACGGATTAAATAGAGACCAGAAGGTCTACAGCTTTATGTAAACAGGAGCCTTAATGTATGAAGGCTGACTGCAGAATGGATAAATCGAGAAGAATATTGGACAGAGTCATTATCTGTGATCCTAACACCTCAGGATGCATCTACGTCTTCGGTTCAGTGCCTGATGTACTCAGCTATGAGGTTTATAAGGGGAAGACCAGAAGTCACTCCCTGGCAGCATGAGGGAGGGCTGGCGGTGCCCCCCCCCTGGGGTCGGAACAATACTCTCCCACTTCCTGGGATTCTCCCATCTGACCGGCGCGTGATTAAACTTTACCCCGGCTCTTTAGATCCAGCCCTTTCAGCGTGTTGCTATGTAACGCGCTCCAGGCCCAGCGTTACGCAGACCTCGTCCGCCATTGTCCGGCGGTGTGTAGCTGATGTCGCCGGTGGGGGGGGTGTTAAGGTGTAGGAGGGTGTAGGGCGGTGAAAGAACGCGGGTGATTTATTTGGTCGCGGCATGAATAAACCCTCTGATGACCCCCGGGCTTTTGGGAAAAGCGCCCAATAAAAATGGCAGAGTGATTACCGTCTCCCCGCCCACCCTGCAGTAGAAGAGAAGCTAAAGGAAATGTGTGGGGACAGCGGAGCGGCGCTGAAAGGGCGTTAATGACCAACACACGGGTATATTGTCCTGGGATCCATTGTTGTGCCGAGATAAAAAGAACTCGCCTAAAATAATGTGGGAAGACAGAAGTGGTGACCCTTATTACTGGATTGTAAGTTCTACTAAACATTAACTTCATTACATGGCAATTAAAGACAGTAATTAGAAGGACAAAGGGTACCACTTTATTATGGGTGGGGTGCTTTCAGAATAGCCCCAGTGGCATACGGGGGTCAGAGTTTTATATCTGGGCTCTGAAAATGACTTGACTGGCCCAGGAACAAAGGGGACAGGTTTAACTACAGCACTGCACAGGCACCAATGCATTCTGGGAAGCCGACTTCTCATGTTGGGCAGACAGCAACAGTTTTTCAGGTGAAATGTGACATTAATGTGTTCAGCCTGACAGGGAAGCGATAAAGCCTTCATTCACAGACAAGAAGTTGTGCGCGCAAACCGAGTGAAATGTAATTCCTGCAGTCGCTAAATGTTTTCTCACACATGGACTGATGTTAACTTTGCACAATGATCCTGTACTAATAAGAAAATCTGAAAATAACAATTGTGCCTACAAATGTGTATTACTTTAAGTCAGACATGAATAGCAGTTAAAATGAAAATAAAGTTTCAAAGCCCTCCGAAAGTAGTTGAGGAAATTGTTGCATATCCACCTTTTATTTAGAGCTTTTATATTTTACCCAACATAAAATTTTTACAGTCTCTACAGCAGAGCTATTCAAGTCACGGTC